AGAATGATTTCAGATGCCAGTCTAAGTGTGTGCTTCAGAGACACAGCTTTGGACAGAAAACGTTGGCTCTGTGAGGCAGGGAGCTGAAAAGGACATTTCCTGTGGTCTCGCTTACCCACCCTGTAGCCACAGGGACCATCAGCATCCCCTGCGGAGCCATCAGGTTTCCCATCCCGTCAACCCACTGACGCTAACAGGCACTTATTTGTGGTGACGGGCAGAAGGGAAGAGGGGAAAAGGCAGGCAGCTAAATACAGTAACAGTGAAGGACCGTGTTTAAGGACACTGGCACAAGTGATGTGCCTCAGACAGCGGTGTCAGATGCTCCGAGGGAGAGACAGGCAAGAAACACAACCACGAGAGAGCTTTGAGAAAACAGCAGGATGAGGAAGAGTAAGTGAAGCCTTGTATCAAAAAAGCCCTTGTAGGATAGGAGGTGTGAAGATGGGAAGGAGACTAGTTAAGGTTTGTAAAGTAATTACACGTCTCTTAATCAGTGATATTGCTTTCCCATGAATTCCACCGGGGATTCCGAGACTGCACGTTGCTGTTTGGCGCTGGAGCTCAGAGCTTACCAGCTGTCTGCTGTCGGGGCGAAAGCTTACGCTGAGCCTTCACCGCAGGCTAGTCCCAGCCCCAAGCATGAAGGTTATCCCAGCCCACGTTGAGCAGCTTTGTGCAAAACCCTACCTACATCACCTGCTACCCACTGCTGGCAAGCTCCCTCCCACGTATTGCTGAACCTTTCTGGCCCAACCAGGGTGGGTGGGGGTTTTTTTGTTGGTTTTGGGTTTTGGTTTTTTTTTTTTGCTACAGTGATGTCAATTCTTTCACAAGGAATGTGAGAAAACTCATCTGTCCTGCCAGACACATACAGTTTAGAGGGAAAGGTCACTTGGGTTATGTCTTAACAGTTCAGTGAGTGGCTTGTCAGAGCAAATAACACAGAATTAAAAAACTTCTACCTGCAACCCTGGATAGATCGGCTATTTGAGGACTCAGATTTCATCAAACACTGGGAAGAAGAGTTTGGGTGCTAATAGAAAGGGGTTAGAGACAACATTTGATAAAGACTCAAAGTTTACTTGGCTGCAAAGACAGCTCCTAAACTTGATACCATAGAAAACATAAAGAAACACTGTACTTTACACAGAAACCTGTTAAAATCTTACAGGTCTAATTTTCATAGAGTGTACAGCCTTACAGTCACCAAGAAAAACTTCTGTGGATACAAAGGCTGTGTTTAAGTGTTTAAACTTACAGTCACATTTTGTTCCTTATATTTTTACACATACCTGAGCCTCTTTTTAATCGTCTTCTTGCAAGTTTAATTTGATCCTGAAGAATCTGGACCCAGTCCCTAGGACCAGGAAGTTTATCCACGTGGTTAGCAGTGCAGTATTTTTCTGTAAAGACTGAAATAAAAAGATACCATCTTTTTGAAATGTGCCACCAGAATGGAGAAAAGGAGACTGGAGAGGATTATAAACTAAATATATCAAATTATCTACTTATCAAAAAGCATTTAAATGGCCAAATCTAGGACTGTGAGAACAGAGTACAACTCAGCGTTGCACAAGTTTATCATTTGGAAGTCATTTGTGTGTATAAATATCACTGTAATACCATAGTTATTACTTATAAAAGCTTATTCCAGAGCAATGGTCTACATCCGACATCTTCCATTCATGAATTTCACACAAAAACATCACAGAAAAAATAGTGTACTTTGAACTGAGCCTCCAGATGCGGCAGGCACTTCTAAATGCTGCCTTCCATATGGTACAAGCAGAGAGCTGAAGATCTGGTCATTTGGTGGCATCTTGGTCAGGTTCCTAAGGCTGCAGGCAAACTGATGAAAGACAGAAGTCCTGTCACTGTGGAAATCTCTACAGTTCTCCTACTGCCAAACCAGACGGAATAGAATTTTTATAAAGCTACTGAAAAAAAAAAAAATCCATTACTGAGAAAAAAGCAGTATCCTACAGGCCCAATTTTGTATTTTGTACAACTGGCACATAGAGGGTCAGCATTATCTTTAATTCCATATTTACTGCAAACGTAGCAATGTCATACAAAAAATACAAAATTATAAATGGACTGAAACTGATGCAATTGATTTTCATCACACAACCGAGAGGTGTGCAAAAAATAAACAAGAGCAGAAATGGAAAAAATATTATTACTGTCAGTATTGCTATTGTAGTCTTGGTCAGAGGTCTCAGAGCCCAATGTCCAATTATGACTGGCAAACAAAGAGAGAAAACTGGTCCCAGCTCAAGGAATTTGTAATCCTTGAGAATAAATGTCACACAAATGGGACGGGGAAGCACGCCACACAGAATTACAATTTCAGTATTTTTATACACATGCTTTTGAAACATCACTAGCTGGTAAGTATAAGGGGACCCTCCAAACTCTATCCATGTTAACAACTTCACAAAACCACTGCATGAAAGTTATTAGCAGTACTTTGTAGTCTGATCAGCAGGGACACCAGATCAACTCTGAGGGCTTCCCAGAGAAGTCAGTACAGCCCCACACATTGCCAGTGTCCGATTTGCAACAATTACGGTCTCTCTGAAGGCAGAAATAATCTTCCACTTCTGAATCTATACGGTACCTGACACAAAGGGAACCTGATCCATGGCTTAAGACTCGTACTTACTTCAAACACACAACTGCAGCTCCCGCTTGTGACCAGGGCCTGGGGACAATCTATGACACCAGGCTGTACCCAGGCCACCCACTGCAGGTGCCTACTGTGGGAATTACGAGTACTGCCCGCCGTTGCCTGCACAGAAAGTCAGAGTCCTGCAGCCTTGGAGAGCCAATATATTAACTTGCTTCTCTAACTTGCTTGTTCTTCTCTTGGACGAAAGTCAAAATAGCTTTGATTGCTCAACGTGTGTTAGTGAAACACCAACACAGACAAGAAAGAATAGGAATGCAATAGGAAGGAGGCAGGAGAAGTGGGACCTTCCCTTTCTAGTCCAACTGAGCTGTATGGTGCAAACAACCTCCCTATTGTAGAATCATAAACTGGTTTGAGTTGAAAGGGGTTTTTAAAGATCATCTAGTCCATCCCCCCTGCCACGAGCAGGGACCATCTTGCACTACACCAGGTACATCAGGTTGCTCAAAGCCTTGAACAAGGTCCAAGCTGACCTTGAACACTTCCAAGGATGGGGCAGCCACAACTTCTCTGGGAAATCTGCTCCAGTATCTCATCACCCTCATCATAAAAAAAAAAAAAAAAAGGTCTTCCTAATGTCCAATCTGAACCCACCCTCTCTCAGTTTAAAACTGCTGCTCCTTGTCCTGTCACTACAGGCTCTGGTAAAATGTGCCTCTGTCTTTCTGATAAGCCACCTTTAAGTACCAGAAGGCTGCAATAATGTCTCCCTGGAGCCTTCACTTCTCCAGGCTGAACAACCCCAACCCTCCCAGCCTTTCCTCACAGGAGAGGTGTTCCAGCCCTCTGATCAATTTTGTGATCCTCCCCTGGATCTGCTCCAACAGGTCCATGCCCTTCTTATGTTGGGGGGTCCCAGAGCTGGATGCAGTACTCCAGGTGAGGTCTCACCAGACTGGAGTAGAGTGGGAGAACCACCTCCCTCGACCTGCTGGCCACGTTTTTTGTGATGCAGCCCAGGATATGGTTGGCTTTCTAGGTTGCAAGTGCACATTGCCGGCTCATATCTAATTTTTTGTCCACCAGTATCCCCAAGTTCTTCTTGGCAGGGCTGCTCTTAATCCACTTATTCACCAGTCTGCACTGATACTGGGGATTGTCCACCCAGTTGCAGGACCTTGCACTTGGCCTTGCTGAACCTCATGAGGTTCACATGGGCCCACTCCTCAAGCCTGCCAAGGTCCCTCTGGATGGCATCTCTTCCCTCTAGCAAACCAACTGCATCACTCAGCTTGGTGCCACCTGCAAACTTGCTGCCTATGACCAGGTCGGATGGAGCCTTGAGCAGCCTGGTCTAGTGGGAGGTGCTCCTGCCATGGAAGGGGGGTTGGAACTAGACGATCTTTGAGACCCCTTCCAACCGAAACCATTCTGTGATTCTATGTCATTGATGAAGATATTATCCCAGTACGGATCCCTGAGGGACACATCACACTTACATCTGAATGCAGCTCATCGATTTCTGCAGGGAAGGACTTCACTGGCTGGATTTCTAGTCAATGACATAAGTGAAAAACAACCACTTCTGGTCTTTTTTTCTTTTTTTTTTTTTTTCCCCCATCCTTTTTCCCTCAATTCTGAGTGAAAGATTTATGCGACTCACAGAAGAAACTGATTGCCCAGGAGAAACACAGCAACTGATTCAACAAGTGCCACTGAATACTCAAAGTCAAAAGAAAGGATTTGTCCCCAGCTAATCATCCTGTTGCAGAAGCGTTAAATTACTCGTAAGGACAGCAGTTAAAAATGTTTTCAGGCACGAAGAGTGATTTTCAAGCAAACAGTCCCTCCTTTTAAGTTCTCTGCACGTTTTTGTCATGAATGTAGCCTTTTATCCACTTCTGCATCGCTGTCATGGAAAAGGACTAAAAGTGCCACTAAAGGGTATCTGGGCACGTGGTACAGGCATGTCCTAATGATAATAATGCAAACAACATGATGTTGTTCTTGCGAAGATTTCATACTGGCTCAGTTATTTCTTGGAATAAATGAAACCACAGTGTCCGATAGGCCAGCTCGCTGGAGGGAAGAAGGGTGCTATTGGAGCCAGGCTGAGTAAAGATCCACCGGACGTCAGCCCTTGGCATCTTATTCCATCACAGCTTTTAGGGACGGGCTCCCCTACCAGGGATCAGGCACTAGGCATTTGGGCAATACTGTAAATGCCAATAAAGATGACTGTTATTACAGTGGTACCTAGTAGTACCATCACAGATGAAATTTATCTGTCGGAACTACAACTCCCCCCTTTCTTCTCCCAAACTCGAGGGTAAAAGTTAAACCAAGCCTCAGAATTTGCTCCAGCAATACGAGCTTAGCTACTGAGAAACATTGTTCAGTGTAATGACTGCTATTTTAATAGTGCTGCTGCATCTACCGAAAAACATTACTTTTATCACAGAGCTGCTCAAATTAGAGGGTTTTTTTAAAAAAGTAATTTTGAACTCCTTTTTCTTATTATTAGGAAGCTATTTATTAAAGCTTTTAAGGAAGAATGAGAAAGAGATAAGAGTGAATCAACTTCAGATTTCTGCAGATTACTGAGCTCAAGAAAGGAAGATACAAAAAAGTGTTTGTGTTTGAAACCTAATCATAAGCACAACTGTAAGAAAGTCTGCCAGCAACTCTGTAACATGTGTTAGGAGTATGACGTAGCCACAACATATACTTTATCACAGAATTGCACAGGTTGAAAGGGTCCTCTGGAGGTCTCCATGTCCAGCCTGGTGCTCAAAGCATGTCCAACTAGATTATGATGCTCTGGACTGTGACCGGTCAAGTTTTGAGTATTTCCAGGGATGGAGATCCTGCAGCCCCTCTGAGTCCCTATTCCACTGTTCAATCGCTCTTATGCTGAAAAAGCTTTTCCTTACATCACGTCGAAATTTTCCATGTCCGATGCCTCTTGTGCCTCTGAGAAGAGCCTGACTCCATCTTCCCTACGCCATCCCATCAGGTAGCTGCAGACAGCAGTAAGGTTTCTCTTGGATCATCTTCTCTGCAGTTCTCTCAGCCCCTCCTCATACGTCACTCCACATACATACTTCACCGCTTACCTGATTCAGTACCATAAGTCTTGGTGGCTCTCCACTGGACTCACACCAGTATGTCAATGTCTTTCTCACATGGGAAAAGGGGGTAAAAGCGGACAAAGAGGTGGCTGAAAAGGTTCCTCTGCCTCCTTTTGCTGCCAACGGACTTCTAGAAGGTCTTCTCATTGCCTTATGTCTCCTAGGTTAGCAATCTGTACCTCAGGACAAATCACAGCCTCTAACATAAGCTCTACTTTGCAATGCAGCCTGTTTTTCAGTAACTTGGGTATTTCCCCTACTAGATCAGATTTCAAAATAACAGAATCTGGTTCAGAATCTCTGGCCTAGTATCAGCTCTTTACATGTTGCGATCACAGTGTTTGAAGGTACACGTGTTCTTCTGGAAGACAGAAAGCTGTGATCGCTAAGAAAAAACACCCAGCACAGGATCCTCACACAACTAAGAAATTTGCTCCCACAAGCACCACCACCGTACTTAGGAGCCTCAAACTCACCTCAGCCCCAGTATTATCTTCCTCCATCTCTCCCCAATCCACCCACCAACTACTAAACTATTTAGAGAGCAGACACAGTCAGAAGCAGTACAAGCCTCAGAATTTTGATTGAAGCGGATCAGTTATACTGTCATTATGTTTTCAAGATTTCTTTGCGTCTCTGATATCCGGAAAAAAAATCTTATATGAACATTGAGTTTCTAACCTTAGAGCCTGACTTCAGAAACTGGGATCATTGGCTTAAAATTAACACAAGCTGTCCCCGTAGAAGCTATTTTTAACAAGTGAATGAAAGGGAATAAAAATAAGACTGCATATTTTAATAGACCTAACACACGTCAGAAATTCTAATCCCCTTACACTCTCCTTAGCTGAGAATATGTTCTAATTACACATATGAGAGAAAGCAAAAAACGTACCTTTTATTGCACCCACAATATTTTGGTCTAGTCCTTTCCGGTTGTCATTGAGCCCTCTTTTCCTTTTGCCATTTGGTAAAGAGTTCGCCAAAGTCTTGTCATCAAAAAATGCACAGACCAGCTTCCTAAAGAGCAGACTTCCTGAGCGAGTATAGTTTGATAATATAGAGTCCAGTTGAGATTTAGGCATGAAGACGTCAAAGCCTTCTGCAAGTTGCACTTCTGGCTACCAAAAGAATACAAATGTTTTAATTAAATGAGCATTCAAAGACATTATTCTATTTCAATCATGCATCTGGTGAGACTTTACAATCACTCAACCGAACTACGAATCTTTTCCCAGCTATTCAGTACCACAGCAGCCTACTTCATTGAAATCAAACCTCATCAGTGAATAAGTACCTTAAAAGGCAAATCAAATAATCATACTCATGTCTAGCCACTGTAATAGTTAACAATTACCGACATTATTTCTAGGCGTATGGCTAACAAAAAGAAAAGAGATACCTTTCAATATCAGATAATAATGACAAACCAGAGGATCATCCCAGAGCAATTCTCCTACGCAATGCTTTTTGGACATTTATCTAACCATTTTATGGACTTGTTTCACTACCAAATGATGTGAATAAGAGTGCTGAGGGGCAGCCAGGCATTTCCAAGAGGCACAAATGCAGGGCTACCGGCCCGTTCCACATGGTTTCCCAAAAGTGCTTCCAGCATAGAATACAGCCCATATGAGCAGAAGCTGATGATGAGTTTGAGGTTGCCCTTGGAGCCAGCACTTGCTGATCATCCATTTCTCCCTCCTTTTCATATTCCCAAAATGCATCTTTAGAAGAGGATGATGTCAGATAGACAACTTATTTCAGCGCAAAAAAACCTCAGTGGTAAATCACTGGGATTTAGGTAACTGCTAGAAAGTGAGATGGAGGGGAAGAAGAGGAAACAAAATCATCCTGCATTTCACAAGAGTCTTGTCTCAAGTACATTGTGGGCCAAAGCAGACAAAGGCCTTCAAGGAAATCCCCTTGCTAAGTCTTTTTGCTGCCCCTGTCTGTACATATCAGAAATTACATGAACGATATTTGCAGTATTTTCTTCTGCGACTACCATACAGTGCTTACACAAGAAACCTGTATGGAATAATTATCTATCTAGAATCAACATCTATCACAAATAAACTAATATTTTTAAGATATTATCTGGAATTTGGCAACAGGGGAAAAAAAATCACTGGTCACGATGTGAGAACATGAGCTAACATTACAGCCTTGCTCCTAATAACTTGCTCTTTTTTTCCCCTACCTGAAAATATATCCACCAGTGATGGTGTGTTTTCAAAGATGTTTACAGAGCAAGAGCAAATGCCATCTCCCATCAATCACCTGCAAACGTCTTGAGTCTAGACAGAAGAAAGGGCTGCCAATCTCAGAAGGATTTGGCTGTGTAACTTTTCCCATGGATTTTTAAAAATCAGTATCAAGAGAGTTACAGCAAGCAGAGTATTTTCAAAGCATATACTATCATTGGCTATGCATCTGTATTGTGCTATAAAAGTGAAGATTACAATGCTTTGGGAAGCCAGGATGAAGAATCTTAAAATATGCAGACAGTAATAATAATAATAAGAAAATTTTAAAAAGCACCTAAGTTTCTCGGCTTTTTCTGGATGAAAAGTTGTTTTTTACCTTGAGAACTTTCAAAATGCTGGATCTAGCAAAACAGAGTTACACTATTTGACATGTGGCAATCTTCTGGTGTAGGTGGGGTTTTAATATGTTACTTCTAAACTTTCTGGCGACAGAAAATATTTTCAAGAGTAACTAAATGTGGGCCAAGTTTACAACTTGGGAAAAATTCTACTTCATGTTAATCAAAACCCAGAAAGCAGTTGTCACGGTGATGAAGGCATCCTATCCTATTCTGTTACTTGGGTCTTGGGTCTTATGATAGCAATCTAAGACGACCTCGATGATAGGAGATGCCTAGAGCAGACAACTCACCTTCACTTACACAGCTGTAAAATGCATTTCAAACCTTACCTGTGCACCAGCGTGGAGAAGTCAATATTATTTTAGTTTTGACTATTTTATTCTTGTGATAAGAATCAACTTGTCTATCAGCAAAATAATCTGAAGGCAAAACACTGATTTATTCTTGCTTTCCTTTAGTAGTAAACTATTTTTCAATCAAAGACAATCAGTACCTAATTGAACTTTATGATCACTTTGAATGTGATTTCTCAAAAGGAAAAGCATTCGTTAGTAGATAATGATCATGGCATAAGGAACTGGTGGGTAAACTATTCGTGTACAATAAAATAAATAAGACCTAAATGCCAGAGGCTTTTGCTGTGCTAAAATTAACAGGCAGTGAATTAGATTTAATCCTAGACATTTTAGTACATTGTACTATGTAGATTAGAAATGATTAGGTTATAAATGAAATATTGCAACAGTAAAACAAACACAAGAAAGTTTAACTAAGAGTAACAGATCACTACATTTAAAGAGCAGGTTCTCTGATTCACAGGCCGGATTAAGAGCTGTCCCCACAAAGACTTTCCCCACCTCCATAAGTAGCAGTATTTCATCTCAGCAAATCTGAACTAATTGCACTGGTTTCCATAGCCCCAGTTTTATACATGTTAAACGGAGATTTTTCTTAAAGTTCGATAAATGTTGGCAAAATAACAGCGGCGACAGTCCTGGCGTATGGCACAGCACACACTACAGACAACCCGTGCAATATTCTCAAGGGAACATTTATTTATGGTGCTGCGTAAAATGTCTTTCACTTTTTTCAGCCACTCGGACACGCTGGTCCTCAGCACACTAGAGATGTTCATGAATAAACAGAAAAAGATAATGCCACCATTCATTCTGAAATAAGTAACTTTCTTTTGCCTTCTCAAAATGTTTAAGGTCACATTTTATTTTCACTGTTAAATATATCTATTTTCAGAACTCAACTGTTTTCTTTCCAAAGACAAAACAAAATCAATTTGTTTGTCTCCGTGTTCTGGCTTCGTAAATTTAGTCAAACAACTATTGTGGCAAGCAGGGGCCAAAGCATGGGAGGGCAGATGAGGACCTGATTTATGAGCCACATGTTTTCTATTCTTTTTTTTCCTTAGGTCAAATTGGCACCTACAAAGAATTGTGTCCAGCGATGGAACACATTCATAAAGCCAAATTAAATTCCATTGCAAGTAGAAAACTGTTTTCAAAACCGTGTTTCAAGCTGAAAACAGTGCTACAAGCAAAGAAAAATTATAAGCACAAATTGTGTACTGGAGATAAATTACCAGTCCCTCCCCAAACCATTCCCTCAAACAGAACTGAGCATAATAGTACAAAAGGAAAACCTCCGAATAAGCATCAAACTAGTTACTCTGCATCACTACTCCGACTCTGTGGCATGAGACTGCAACCTAATTAGTGGTGTGGCTTGCATCTCTACAACTGAATTATCATGACTGCTCTTTATTACTAGTTCCCACTTCCAGAAAGGTGGAATATTATCTGCTGCATTGTTTCATTTATGCTTATTGATACTGAATTTAATTACGTTTTTCTAGCTCACAGTACTTAGGAAATTGGAAACTGCCTGCTTAAAATTAAAAATGTATTAGAGAAATTAATGATCAGTTTACTTATCATTGAACTGGTTCAGATGACATCTATCTGGGCATTAAACAAAAGCAACCAGCCACTAGATACATGAAAATTCTATGGTTGTGTACATGTCACATGAATCAAGAAAATATGCTCATTGCAATTTTACATGTGAAAAGTACGTATTTTTATAGTGGGAAATTTTGATCCCTTTAGTCACACTGACATTGTCAACAGCATCAAGGGCCTCATCCAGCAACCACAGCGATGAAGACCAAATGACCCGATTCAGCAAAGACGGAGGTATGAACTTCAGAGAGGAGAGGAGTCCCCTGAAGCCAGTGAGACCAACCAGGCATGAAACACAGCACATAAATACACCATGGCAAGATAAGGGCATACGTGTGGACTACGTGTGCTCCTCAGCAAATGACAGGGTAGTGAATGGTTTATGCAGGCAGCACTTTTCACAGCTCCTGATCTCATGGTGGCTCTTGGCAAGAGAAGGGATGAAGAACAAGTTTCCACTCAAGCTCAAACCACAGGCAGCCTTGAACTCAAGGGAGAACTACACACTCAGGAAAGTTGAAATAAAAACCCACCCAAAACTTTGTAACCAGCACTCCCCACGTCTAACCCTCCGTCTCCATTCAACCCTACTCAAGATTTGCTCGTTTAGTCTAACAAGAAGTGGAAAACACACATCAACCTGACTTGAGAACCAACTCTCCTGAATGAGTTAGTGCTTTTAAATCCTACGATCCCACCTATTCAAATATTAACTTACATCTGATGAAGCCGATTCAAGGATAATTCCAAATCCTGAAATAGGGGTTTCTGGTTTTAGGGGGGGTTCAACTGCTTGCAGACTTGATCGTTCCAAGTTTGCTGATAGCTTCTTTTCGTTTTCTGCAGAGCTGGGTTTCTTATTCACGGTAATTGGTTCAACAGTTTTGAGGGGCAGTTTTTTCTTTTTATTTCTCTTTCTTGATATTGTTGACTTTTGTGCACAAATCAGAGGAACAGGAGGCTGCTGTCTGTTTTGAGTCCCAACTGAATGAAAGAAAGTAATGAATTAAATGTATAGGCAAAAGCACATGTATAACCACACAGACGCACCTGCAATACTGAACTGATCGTCTGGGTAAGTGGCATGGTTTTCAGGGTTGTCCCTGGATGTGAAACAGTTATGTTTTATCACCTTTGCATAATTTTCCAATCTGTACAACGGGGATACTGACACTGAGCTCCACTACCGAGGTTTTTCAAGACATACTGATGAATAGCATTTTAGGAAATTAGGAATACATGATTCTTTTTCCTAGAGGCCACTGGATGGCTGGCGACATGAGGGACTTAAGCAATGATTAATTTGTACACCCTCTTGAATGACTGAGAATCTCATTGTCTTTGAGCAACTTTTCCTGATAAAGTAAGATAATACAAGTGGTAATGCAATTATGGTTATTTTTATGAATGTAGTCACCAAGTTAATTAGCTCAGCAAGAACATTTCAAGTACCATTATGTCAAGAATGAGTGAAAACAGTATTCAATAGTGTAATTTCGGGGAAAAAAAGTAACCCAAAGTTGCATCAGTTTGTTTTGCTGCTACAAGGGAACTGATAGTTCATGTGTTACCTCCGAAACCTAAGACACTATATTTTATATTTATCAGTATTTTGCATTTTCCAGTATCCACAATCGTTTGTATAAAGTAAGGCACCAGTCCTGAACCTGTGTCAATGTGAGTGAGTCCTCCAGCAGAACGCTATGCAGATACAATTATGTCTGGATGAATCAGTAAGATCAAGGTCCAAACAAAAAAAGCCAAAAGTGCTACACATGCAAATCAAACTCATTTGAGCTATAAGTGAACTACAAATAGTCCTCATCTACAAAGCTTGAGGAAAAAACCAAACCTCTTAATACTGTTTACTAAAAGATTTCTGGGATATTTCATTTCCAGCAAGGATTTACAAAACCGTAATTTGGAGTTTATCATTTAGACAGAGGGTGTTTGAATGCTAAAATAAGCTATTACACTTTCACTTATATGTTTGCATTTTAGTTTTCTTTTTCTTTTAGCAACAAAAATGCAGAATGATTTTTTTTTTCTCTGCAACACCATCATTTTGTGCCTACCAGAAAATACAAACTATTCCCAGTGAATCAAGAGATTCACTAATTAACAAGGTACTTACACCGTAGACACATAATAAATATGAAATGTTCCTGCTATTGAGAAGCCAGCTCTTCTGGTGTAAACGTCAGTTCTGTACCTCTCACCCACAAGTCATTTTTAATCATGCATGTAATTTCAATGAAATTGGTGCAACTGCATAAAGAACTCCCTGCCCCAGCAAAGATTGTAAAATCAGGCCTTCATGTTTTCTTTGTAAATCGATGACTTTTAGAAAAGCATTTTAATGTGTATCAACTGATATTACAAAACCTGTCTGATCCTTTCCATTGCTCACTCAAGCATTACATGCCGTGGAGACAAGGAGTTTAGTCAGCCCTTCACTCCACCCATATTTCAGTTAATTACTCAACACTCCCTTTTCTTACAGAAGTCTTATCCAGCCACTCTAAGAGAAAAACCTCCATGGCTCCACTCTCCATCACTCACGCTGGATGGGCAACTCAATCTACAAAAAATCTCCTCATCAGTACCGACACTAATTTTTTGGAAGCACAGAGGCTGCAGCTTCACAGCAAGCTATGATGACCTACCCAACTCCTAGCTGCCAAGGTCTCTTTATCTTGTTGGCTCTAGTGCTCTTCTGGCTCTGCACTGTTGGGTTTCAGCTCCCAACCTATTAGAAAACTAGACTCAATAGTTTTCCCCAATGTACAGATTATTGCTGGTTCAGCCAGTAGAAAGAACTGGTAAACCAGCCTGAAGAAGGGTGGAGGCCACAGCACGCAGCAGCTAGCTCAACTGAGGCTACCATGGAGCTCTAACTTTGAATGCAGTGTTATATAATAACTTTAAGTGGCCTTCAATTTTTTTTTTTTACCCCTAAGATTAGTGCACTGGTAAGCAGGCAACAGGTAAAGTAGCATTTTGCACCCCTGGATGAATACACTGTGAAAACAAACCGGGGGTGTTTACGGCATATTGACCTACCCACTCAGCTCCCATTGCTAGAGTACCTAATCGCATTAGATTTTTTTTTAATTTATCCTTCAAAGATTCCCACAAGATAATATCCCACGTTACAAGTAAGGATCTGAGAATTAAAAATTACATGTCCAAGAAGCCTGTGAAAACTTGACTTTGAACATGTCAAGAGAGCAGGTTTTTCTAAGTCTCCATGTAGCTTTCTGTCTTTACTAGACCATTCCTCCTAACAAGAAGATCATAGAATAGTTTGGGTTGGAACAGACCTCCAAAGATCATCTAGTCCAACCCCCTGCAATGAGCAGGGCCATCTTCAACTAGATGCTTGTCACGGATATGCATTGTACCTGCTTGAATCTGCATCAATTTTCGCATGGTCTTGAGCTCTTGAAGAATAGCCTGTAGGGTGGACTGACAATTACACGTACAGCAGTTTGGTCCAACTGATGAATTCACTATTGGGATTTCTCCTGAAAGAGAGAGGAATGAAACAGGGGAGAGATGAATGTAACCCACACAAAAACACCCAAACAATGATTACCAGCAGGCATTTGAAGCTACTATCAATATACCTGATCATGAAATTACATCTAAAGCAAGAAAGCAAGTAATTTTCAACACGGTCCCTTTTAAGAAGGGGGCCACTAGTTTTTACCCAATTACTAGTCTGTGCAATTACATATGGTAGGGGATGCAACGTTACACGGGCTGGAGAAGACTGCTCAGAGCGTGGAATACAATACACTCTTCACAGCAGGGCTCTCTATTGTCAGGCTAGTTCATCTTGAATAACAATAGCACCAAACCTCATTATAAACATACTCACTTTGTCACACACACACACAAAAAAAGCCCATCTCCTGGAACAGTCTTACAAAGAACGAAGACAGCCTGTGTAACAAAGGTTTATCCTGTACATTAAATGAGGGCCTAAGAATTTTTAAACTGTTTGAATGTTGCATGTGACTCTATACCATGTGAAGAATTGAGAATGAAAATAAAATACCCTATTCAGAGACAAAAAAAAACCCAAACAAAAAAAATTCCCCAACAGGATGGAAAAGAACTACCAGCAAGGAAAACTTTCATACCTGCTCTTCTGTTTGCTAGGGTGGGATTGTTTTCTACAGCATGTTTAATAATAATTTAATAAAATTTAATGTTTTCCAGTGCTGTGACCTACAAGATGGGCTTTCTGTAGCTTCCCTTTGAGAATTAATACAGTAGTTCAACAGATTCTTCTTCTCTAGCAATTCTTACTAGTGTTTAACCAAATTTATACACTTCCAGTTCTAGCCCATAGCAGTGCTTTTATTGCTGCCTTGCTCTCCAGAAGTTTTGCATTATAGATCCAGGCTGCAACAGCTGGGAGATTTCAAGCTTTACCTGAATAGTTGCATCCTGCACCTTAGTTTACATTGGCTGTATCCCTAGCTTTAACTCTGCAAATAAAAATTTCAAAATTCAACAAAAGACCTAGCGGTATCTGCTTGAACCTGAGGCGAGATGGGATGCAACCGCCTTCATTTCAAAATGTGCTTACAGTCATTTAAATTGATGGCTATTTTACTGCTCATCAAAGCATGCAAGAGGAGGGATGATCATTTTATGAAGATAGGTACAAACGGATCTAACAAAAATCATCTTGCTTGGTGTCACAGGTGGTGGACTTCAGAGAGCATATTTCCCTTTTTCTTCCACAGCCTGACAGTTATCAGGGGCCCTTTAATCATTACCTAGCTAAAGTGAACATAAGCAACTCATTTAATCTTCGCTCATAAATCCTCCCATGTTTCGTTATTACTTTTGCTCTCCTCTGAAGCCAAACCAGTTTATTAATAACTTTTTACGTTTGGCTTGTGTTCTTTCATCAGAGCTCCCTGATGTCAGACCCACACAGATCCCCTGACTTCAATCCTCATTTTAAATGGCCGAAAATCTGGCCGCCGCTAAATCACTCCCACCCTTTCATAGTTCTTCGAGTGTGTCCCTCCATCCTCAAATCTCCCTTCCCAAGCACTCATTCTCTACCTCCTTCCATTCAGTCCTTCAGCTCTGAAGCAACATCTATCAGACTTGAGCAAACTGGTGGTCATTCTCCCAAAAGTGAGCTACTTGTGAAGCTAAACTGACGAGTCACTTAAAGATTGTTGACATCTTCTGGGTGTCGCTCTCCTTTCCTCAGATAGTTTTAGATTGTCCACACTACTGCAATTACAAATGTCAGTATTTTAAAATATCATCCATGGACAAAAGCTGTTAATACCGCATTAGGATAAATGGAGCAGTTTAAGGATCTCTGCAAATCTAGCAAATATGAATGCAATAGTTCCACTGGCTTCTTCTCTCCAAGGTTTCAGCTGTAAATAAAACAACTTTTTAGAAGTAAAAAGCCATCTGTGAAACAGGCCGAGAGTGTCAACTTAAAACAGAAAGAGGTTACTGACTCAGCAGGACTCTGCCTAGTTTGATCTCACCCTTCCTTTGTACGTTGTCTATTCACTGAAAGTTCCTTGGGGCACCGATGGGATTTTATCTTTTGAATGATCCATAAAGTTTTTAGCCCATTGTTACATGTACAGAGGGAAAAAAAAAAAAAAAGTTATCGTTAGCTTTGCAGCAGATTACTCAACATCCCTCAACTTGGCTCAACCAATATGCTTTACCTATCTGTTAAAGGTAGACTTTTAAGTAGATAAGGTTCAAGACTACTTATAATTTAATAGTTATCAGCATAACTCTGTACCTTTCAGTAAGACAAGCAGGTACCCTAGAAATTGAGTCCCAGGAAATTAGGAGAGTTTTAGTACTAGAAGACAAATACATAGCAAGAACATCCTTCCTCCAGTGCTTTCTCAGTTGTTTTAGACTAATAATCTCCTTGGGATAAAGCCTTTCCTCTCTCTTTATCAGAATCTAATATTCTAGTGGGCTTCTGGAAATAATATCTGAAAGACAACAGTGAGAGACAGGGCTGGTGGCTTTTGTTTCCTTCTTAACAAAGACTCTACATTGTGGTGAACTGCATGTGAAAACTTGGACAAATTGTATCAGTAAATACCTGTACATCTTTCCTGTTGCAATATAACACGTTCCTAATGAAAGCACGCAGGCTCCTGATGAAAAACCAAAGAGTCTATTTTCCCATTGAGGCATGGGGGATTTACATTATAATTCCCATTAGCATTGATAGAAATTACCCATGTAAATCTACCATAGGTACTGGAAATGGGAAAAGAGACCACCAATATTTCAAATCAAAGCAGGGTTCTACTGACTTCATACATATTCATGAGGGTTTTTTATTTTCTTTCTATCCTCCCTCCTCTGATCAGCTACTGTGTTGTAAGAAACATCTTGTAGAGTGTTCTCAGTCATTGTTCCAAGCACTATCTTTATCATTTTTAGAGGACAAAAGCAACCCTTTTCAACTTGTTATAAATCAATTTTTAATTTTAAAAGGAGAACAGACTTTTTATTTTTATGAAGGAGTCTTTAAAGAGCCATCTCCCTCTCTTTTGGAAGCTAGCCAGCAGGCAAATTTGATACCAGCTTGTATGATTGAGAGAAGGAGATGACACAAACACGTTAGTCGCTTCCTCCATGTGAGCAGCAAGCAGCCCAGGACAGCGGTTCTTGCAGCTGGGGCTGCTGAAAGCGAATCCACCTGGTGTAACATTGCTACCACGAGGTCATATTTGAAAAGCATACAAGTGCAATCCATTGAAAACGATCTTGACATAACCAAAAAGCAACTCAGCTCCTGCGTCGCAGCCGGATTTGCTACAGAACACAAGGAAACTAAAGTGTTTTAGACAGACTCCACGAGTTTGCAGTCTCTAATAGCGCAGACAGGCTACTCACTGTCTGTAGGCTCAAGAGGTTTCCGCTAAAGGCAGCGGGTCACAGATGTCTACCTAACGTTCCTGACTTGTGGAACCGCCACCTTAAATCTGGTTTGGAATAAATCACTTTGCTTTTCAAGAATGTTCCTACTCTTCCCTTTGTTGTAACAACGCCCAGGATCCCTCCACTCCTTCTTGTCTCTTTTTGTCTATTTTTGCTGACACCTTTTTCATGACTGCTTTCTATAATGGCACCTGTTAAAACACCCATTCCCCCCTCTCCTTGAGCCACCTTTACCATGCAAGTAGGCACCTATACCAGTTAGATGGACTTAGCACGCCTATTACATTAAAATTTGAGTAATTCAGACAGCCTACAACATATATCTTGGCTTCCTATACCATATCTATCCACAATGGACAGAAACACTTTCTGGACTCAGACTGCCTGCTATAGATGCCTGGACATCTCCGCAGCGATGACCTAGGCCTGACAGCCCTAGGTAACAAGCTCATGTCCTACCTGAACAGTTTTGCTCTGATGAGTTTAAACACCACGCTAAGTACCAAGGAGTAGTGTCCCCCTTGAGGTACTGTTCAGCATTTCAACATTCAGCTTCTAAGGACCTTTGCCATCCTCCAAATAACATCTAAAACACTGAGTTAGATGCTCAGGCTCCCGGCGCAAGGGATGGGGGCAATCGGGCATGTTACAATGGTTACCCAGAAGAGCTGCATGCTGGGTGAGGAGCAGTCTGAGCTTGCTCACAGCCCAGAAATGCATCACAAGTTGCATCAAAAATGCATCAAAATTTCTTAAGAGACGAAGCTTTGGAGCCAAAGCAGCAAAACTGTCCGACAGACCCCACTGGAGGTACGACACCTCTAACCAAGGAGCTATGCAGATCATCTTTTCAAAGGTGGCCAGTGGAGAGGGCCCACACCCATCTTTATGTAATAACCTAAAAGATTGCATTCCTTTCTGCAGCAGGACAGTTGCAGAGGGAGGGGTGGCAAGTGTCTCCCAGCGCACTTCCCCAAGAGCTGGGAGCCTGGGCATTCCTCCCGTCCAGCCCAGGAGGTCACTCAGTCCAACTCTTTTACCGTCTCACTGACTGTTGTAACCTCTAAGAGATCATAAATCAGCTGAATCGTTCCTGCTTGTATGAAAAATTGAAGCGCTGACATTTTCTTGCGTATGGGGCCAAATTCTGTCAACACGGTTTAGCTCACATGCTGAATCAGGCCCCTGAGGGGATAGAGGTGCTGCTCCACCTACTTTCTGGATCCGGGAACTAGGCACCTAACCTGTGCAGGCTTGGGCACTTCTGTGCATGCAGAGAACTGTCCCTGACGGTGCCCAGGGACTTTCAGGGCAACGAGGGAGATGTGTGATGAATTTCAGGCCCTTCCACAGTTAGAAGGTTGTTATGGTGGGATTTTGAGAGCACACTTTTAGACTTGGATGCTAAATCCCATCAAGTGTTTTCCCCACTCCCCTGGATCTGCACCTTTCAAAAAAAGGCAACTATTTTTTTGTATTATAAAATAAATAAAACTAGCTTGACTTATTGCAGTATCTTTCTCCAGGTCAACTGGTACCTCTGTGTGAATCATTGTCTCTACAAAGAAACATTCAATTTGGTGAAACCTAGGGCTGTATGTTTTTTAGTAGTGACATTGCTTCCTAAAGGACAGTAATGAAAATAATAACAGCATTTTTCTTTTTAACTGTTACAAGCAATGAGAACTTGTATGCCTTTAGAGAAGAATACATAGCAGATACTCCTATGAGGAAGTATGAAACCTTCAGAATCAACTGGAAAACAATAATGTTTTCAGATGCAACCTCCCAATTTTTTGTTTTCCAGAATTTAGAACTGAGGTACCCCTTTAAACTCACCCACCCCAGCCAACTTAGGATTGAGTATCAGGATTAAAACTTCCTGAATTGAATTTAGATCACTAAAGATGTCCTTCAGGAAACTGGCAGTAAAACCTCCCTTCTCTGGGACTTAAAACAACAGAAAAGCATTTTAAGGGCACACTGCCATCTACTTTTCGGCAGAATTCTCTGCCAGTACAAGATGGACCACACTCCAGTACACACTGTTCATAGGTAGACTTCATCATCTCTTCTCCTCAGTGATCCCATCAGAATAAAAGCCTAAGGTAGTGATGGGATTTTGCACCTGAAGTTCAGCAGCCAGTTATAAGGCTGTTGCCATCCCCTTACGAAAGTCAGCAGAATCCTGCTCCACAAGTGGTGTCACAACTGCGCTACATTACTCATTGCAAAGAGGAGTGGCAGAGGTTGACATTTAATTAGCTATGAATTTAATAACAATAGCAAAAGCTGTTTTAATAAGTACTGTATAGAAATTAAGCCTGTAACAGCATTGAGTAATTCTGTCCTATCACCAGGAATCCATTTTAAAAGATAAGACAGATGGTAGCAGAATGCACCGTGCCCACTTTCGCACCTTTTCAAAGTGATAACTATGTGCTCATTTTGTAGACTCTGAACTATAACTGCTTTCAGTGCAGCAGTACAATAAATCATCACAACAAAGGCAGAAATTCAGTACAGTACAAGGAGAGAAAAAAAAAGTACTATTGTCAGTATCTAATGCAGATCATACCATTGGATGCCACGGTTCGCGTTTGATTTTGGAACGTTTTGGATCGAGTTCCATATTGCCCTGAAAAATGGCTGGCTTGGGGTGATAATTCATTCCATGCACCACTCTGCGAAGGATGAAGGCTCGCCTGGGACTCTGCAGGGGGATTCAGGCGCTGGGCCCAGGCTAAGTCTAAATCTTGGGGTTCCTCCTTCAGTTTTTCTCCTTCTTTGCCAACTCGTTGATAGATTCTTCCAGTGCTGTCATTCAGTAATCTTCTCATCCCTGTAATTTGTTTTTTAATTTCCCGGCTTTCATCTCCTAATGAAAACAGAGCCACAGTTATCACTGTAAATTAGCAAAAACGGTAATGGGTAGAGATTAGTGATTTTAGATGCCAATAAGAGTTGGAGTACAGAAATAAATAAAGACGAGAAAGAAAAGAGATGGTTGAGCAGTGGTTGGTATGTACCAGGCTACGCTTTAACACAGTGATGGCTGACACCTCTCATGGTTGAGAGACCTGC